TGAAGTCGATCCGACTAAATCCCTAGGAGGAGTTCGTTAAAGTACGAAGTGTGTAAATCATCCAAAAATGGTCGTAAAATTCAAAATGGCCGAGTTTAGGGTATGGGTTCTTGAGGCTTTTTTGTGCGTCTTGATATGATAAATGTCCCCTGAACATTTCGTGCATGTAGGTTGAACATGGACGAGGGGCTAATTTTTTCCAATTTTCTAGGTGGCGCTAGTGAGTCATTTTGCCACGCCCATGCGCGAAACCCATAAAATACGAAATTTTTCACCACTTCTGACATGTGTGTAAAGTTTGGTGAGTTTTAAAATTGAGCTTACTTTGCAAAAAAAAAAAAAATATAATCTTTACGGTTCGTGCTCGGGCCCTAAATACCCCCACTTCGAAGAGTAAATGGCTGCCGCATTTTTGAGGAACTAAAACAGCTGAAATCAAGCGAAATGGCCACGTCAAAATGTTTAAGGCACAGGCTGCATGGCCACTCGAAAAAGCCTTCCACATGAAGAAGACTTTTGAAGATTTTTTAAAATTAATTAATTAATTAATTTATTATTATTTATTTATTTTTATTAACACAAACAAACACAACTTTTATTTACTTATTTAATGAAATGTATGAAAATTATTGTTCTTATGTAATTTATATGTAGTAGCAATACTGTTGTTATACATTCATGCCAATAAAGCTGATTTGAATTGAATTGAACTGAAACGACAAAGGAGTTGAAAGCAACAGTAAGGGCTATGCGCCTAGAGGAGACCTCAGAGCGGCTAGACGCTGAAGGAAACAAGAGAAATAAGCTAATGGACTAATTTGGGGTCACATTCAAGCCCTGGAAAATACAGCAAGAGGAACAACGCAAGGCTCATAGGCCTGAAAGAGACTTTTGGGACCAATGGGACATTGTTGAGCTGTGTTCAGAAAATTTTGACGGAGGGGCTGGGGGTTTGGGCTGATGCCGAGTTTGAGATAGGACACCGGTTGCTTGCACCAATACTGGACCCGGAGCTGCCCCCACGACCGGTGGTGATACGGTTCCTGAGACAGTCAGCGTCAAACAAGGTGATAACGGCGGCTAAGGAAAAATGGGGCTTCGTATGGGAAGGATGACGACCGATTGATGACAAAAGAGTTGGCAGAGAAGAGGAAAACCTTCACCTCGGTGAAGCGCAAACTGCTGGAGCGGGAAGTGAAGTACACGCTGGCCTTCCCGGCCACACTGAGGTTCAGGTGGCGGAGGGAAGAATTTCACTATGGCAACAGCGGCGGATACATTTATCAACGACAACAACCAGGGCAAAGACTAAACACCCAACAAGGGAGATGAACGGATACTTATGTTTGTATGGAAGAGCCACAAACAGGTTGAGAAGACGGGTGTCGGAGGAGAGGGACCCGTACGGCAGCTGCCAAGGACGGAGAATTACAAGAGGGAGGAGCAGTAACCCACGGACCACATAAGGTTTTATTTTAAAGCTGCACATGTCAGCTCCAGGACTGTCAGACTTTTTCTGGCTTGAATTTAAGTTTTTGACTTTGGTTATGGTTTTTCTTTTCTGTATTTTGTACTGGAAACGTTCTTTTTCCAGGTCAAATGTTAGTGTTCATATTTTGTCAGAGTACAGGGTTTTAAAGCATGAGAACACAGAAGGCATAGGCCTACAGGTGAACAGTGCTTCAAACAGGAACAGTGAAGTAGACATGTATGCAGGGTCATTTGAACAAAGATGATTAAGAAATGTATTAAGTACATGTCATGGAATATTAACGGAATTGGAAATCCAGTCAAAAGACGCTAGGTACTGTCATATTTAAAAGCTAATAAGACAGATATATATGTTTTCTATATCTAAATATAGTTTTCATACAGGCAGCTAAATTCAAAACAGGCTGGGTGAGGCATGTATTTCTCAGCTCACTTTCAAGTTCACAAAACGGAGTTGATTTTGCTTAACAGGAGGATACATTTCATGTTGCTTAAAGAGGTTAAGGATACTGAGGGGAGAATGACATGTGTCCAGGCATTAATAGAAGGTATGCAGGTGATATTATGTAATATTTATGCACCTAATAAGGGAGACCCACACTTCTTTCATGAAGTCAGTAGAGTTCTAGGGGAGATGGATGGGCAAATTATACTGGCAGGAGACTTTAACCAAGCGATGGACCCTATTTTAGACAAAAGTCATTTTAAAGGTCCACTAATGACTAAAGATAGGGAGGCAATTCATATGTTAAAAGATGACATGGTGCTCACAGATGTCTGGAGACTTACTAACCCTTGGAAGAGGGAGTAAATGTTTTTTTCTCACTGTCAGAACTGACTTTTTCTTAATTGCAAGCCCCTTAGTAAACAGTGTAGTTAGCTGCAGTATAAGAACTATTGCTATCACAGATCATGCAGTGGTGGAATTATGTATAAACACAGAATTGGACATGGGTAAGAGATGGAGAATGAATTCATCATTACTACAGGAGAAAGACTTGAGGTCATTGTTGGGAAAGGATTTGAAATCTTTCTTTGATTTAAACATTGGCAGTACTAAGGAAATTGCAACAGTCTAAAGCATATATAAGAGGGAAAATAATTGCTCGCTCGGCTCAAAAGAAAAAAGACATCCTAAACAGAATCAAAGAATTAGAAGGTGAAATTAAATTAAAGGAAAATAATTTAGCGCAACATTTTTCAGAACCACAATATCAGGAACTCTGTAAGCTTAAGTTTCAGCTATATGAAATCTAACAAAAAAGTAGAATGTTAATTATACAGATTAAAAACACATTTTTATGAAGGTGGGGGAAAAACTGGGAAGATACTAGCTAGACAAATGAAAGAAAAGGACTCCTGAAATATAATCTCAACTATCAAACGGGAGTTAAATTAGAAACCTCAACAAAATATATAAATGAAACATTCCTACAATATTACAAGAAACTATGTACATCAACAGTATCCTGCAATGACAATCAAATAAATTCATTCTTCTGTAACATAAATATACCTAAGCTTAACCCTGATCACACAAGGAAGTTAGAGTCACCTATAACTGTAGCAGAAATAAGGAAAGCTGTGTCATTAATCACGATACTGGCCGCCATTTTTAAGAAGTATGATAATATAGTTAAACAGTTTTTATGGGATGGGAAAAAGAGTGAGGATAAAACTAAGTAAACTGTGCGCTGCCATGGAGAAAGGGGGATTAGGTTTACCAGATCCAAGGTTATATGGGATATCTTTTGAAATGGCTAAACTAGCCAAATATTGAAAAACGACAGGCAACAAGCCAGACTGGATGGAGATTGAGAAGGAGTTCTGTTCACCATTTAGTCCAAAGGAGCAACTGTCTCAACAAAGTAATACAACAAACCCAATTCTTGTTCACTCTAAGGAAGTGTGGGCTAAGGTACACAAAATGTATAAGTTGTCACAATATGTGCAGACATATGCTTCATTGTGGTTTAATCCTGCCATACATATTGGTAAAATGTCAGTGTATTGGAAGCAGTGCTGTTCAAATGGTATATGTATACAAAAATGGACAATTCAAGTCTTTCAATTATTGCGTCAATTTAAACACGAAGGCAAACAGCATTTTTTTAGATACATACAAATTAGTCTCGAATTGGTAATTGTTCAGGAAATTATATTTTGGACTATCTGAATGCGCCACGCGAATGCTACACGGCTTCACAATTTTATAAACTAACAAACTTAGTAAGTGGTGAGTCCTCTAATGTGAAATTGTTATGGCAGGGAGGCCTGAGAACAAACTTTACACAGGAGAAATGGCTGGGTATACTAGCAGACTGTGGAAAATATGCAAGAGAAGCAAGAGGGAAGTTCACACAATATAAGATCATACATAGATACAGTCATACCCCTGTGAGATTATATAGAATGAAACTGATGAATGATATGTGTTGGATGTGTAAAACAGAGGTAGGAACTTTTCTTCACTGTGTATGGGAATGTGTATTAGTGAGTCCATTTTGGGTTGAAGTTGTGGACTTCTTGAGTAACTGGTCAGGCTCAGTGATTCCCCTGACTCCTGCTGTATGTTTATTAGGGGACAGATATACCGTCGTTATGGTGGGCTTGTTCACAGCTTTCAGAGTTATTTTAAGATACTGGAAAACTGCTGTGTCTCCTAATCTGAAAGACTGGACTACTGCAACGGTGGAGGCATCTTATGAGTATATGCTTCACAAACTGTCAGCTAACAAGGAGAATGGGATGACTTTTTTGGACCTACATGAGGACTAATGAAAACTCAGCCTAAGAAATTAGAGACTAAATATAGCACAGCTCTTTTCCTTTTTTTCTGTGGACTGGATTTTTCAGACTTGATTCTCATATTTAATTTTTCTAATTTTATTTTTCATCTGTGACATGTCAGAATATGTTTATGCCAAGATTCCGAAGTACTCACAAAAAGCCAGCCATCAAAGCGTCCTCCTGGCTGCATCCCACTTTGGCCAGATGAATATCTACCATAAATAGGACTTCGCCTGGACATTGTTCACAACATTCTTGTTGTTTTCATTTTAATTTGATTAGATAACATTGCTTTCATGTAATACACCATGACTTGACTGGTTTTTGCCTTCACATGGTCAAAAGTCAAGATTATTTAATACATTACATTATATTACATTACGTTAAAGAGGAGCACCTCACTGCCCTATTATTAAGTTCAGTTGGTTAGGCGCCTAATTTGGGAATAACTAACAGGTTCAGCTCAGCCCTTGAGTCCTCCAAGGGACACTCAAAGGTCACATCTTCAAAGGATCCAGTTTCTGATTTGGAAAACATTTTGTGTGTATGTAGGGCTGGGTGATATGGCTAAAAATCTTATCACGATAAAAACATTTAATACCGTTCGATATTAATAATTAACACCATAAATGTCAAATCAGTCATTTTTTTGAGTTGAAAGGTGGATTTTTGCTCCTGAATGTATTGGTATTGAATCTCACTTTATTCTTCCACTGCAGGTGTTGGTGTCAGATGGTGGTTCGAGTCCCAGGCATAGTACAGTGTGGGTGATCGTTCAGGTACTGGATGAAAATGACAACAAGCCCACATTTCCTGAGAAGGTCTACCAGGTAAAACTTCCAGAGAGAGAGCGGAGAAAGAAGAGTGAGCCTATCTATCGGGTGTTTGCCTACGACCGTGATGACGGGCCCAACAGTGATCTCTCCTACAGCATCGTGGACGGCAATGAGGATGGGAAGTTCTTCATCGACCCAAAGACTGCAGTTGTATCTTCACGCAAGACCTTCACTGCTGGGAGCTATGACATCCTGACTGTACTTGAACCTTCATCAATTATTAAGCATTTCTGCTAAAAAGTTTTAGGACATTTTTGTTGAATTCTCTTATCTCAAAGAGTGGCATGTCTTTCATTTAACCTGCTGCACCCAAGGTTAGATTACCAAGGCAAAGCTTGCCCTAGGGCCCCTAAACTCCAGGGGCACTGAAAGCAGCAGGTTTACTATGTGTCAGTTGTTCCACCATAAAAAACAAGGAGTGTGAGGAGCATCGGGTGGGGTACATCATGCAAATATTTTGGTCAGATTAAAACATTTTCAATTTACCAAATGCATGTTTGCCACCTGTCTGTAGAGTGAATCTGTATCTGTTTACATTCGGGCAACCTCTACATTTAGTCCAGTAACCTACGAGTCCAACATGCATTTTACATTAATGTTAAAGTTTATTAATCATAACCATAATCTTTCCCTAACATTCAGCATACTGTAGCTGCCATGTGCAGATATTGAAGAAAGCAAAAATGTTGGCATTAGACATTTACTTAATCCTCCAACATTGACTTACTAGTGTGGGTTTGTGGTTGTTAAATTTAACTTCACATTTGCATCTAATATCAGTACTCAAATATCCATACATCTTTGTTCTCTGTCTTGTCTTATGTGCTTCTCTCTTCAGATTAAAGCAACAGACAACGGCCGTCCTCAGAAGTCCTCTACAACTCGCCTGCACATCGAGTGGATCCGTCGACCTCCACCCTCAACCTTCCCGCTGCTCTTCGATGAGCCAGTCTACAATTTCACCATCATGGAGAATGACAAGGTGGCAGAGATTGTGGGTGTGGTGTCCCTGCAGCAGAGCTCCATCCCCTTGTGGTTTGACATTACAGGTAAAATCCCCCTATAGGTAAGGACGATGCCCTGTCAGTGAGATAGAGTGTGTGCCCAGGCTTTGTGCATGGTATGTATTGGGCTGACAGTGTTGGTGTGTGCTGTGCGTTTATGTAATATGAGATTCAGCTCAGGTACCGTGGCCTCGCTGCATGATCTGTTATGCTCTGCCAATCCCAGTCACCATGGTGACAGCTTCTCCAGCTGTCAGGTCTGTATGCCCTGTAAGAGGTAAAGCAATGATAGAAACAGTCTATAGACGACTGATATGGAATGAATTGAGGATAAAATATTTGTTATCCTGAGACCCAGGAAGACCCTTTTTTAAAAAAAGGGTCTTTCCCTTTTAGACATTTATTGTCATTTATATAATTATATTAAGTATTTTTCATGACTTTAGTTCCTGCTTAGATGAGGCATTGGCTCTCTCTCAAAAAAGAACGTTCTGACAGATTTTAAAGCCAGTGTGACATTTACTTAAGTGAGAAATGTTCAACGTGGCACACTTAAATCCACTTGAAAGGCTTAACCAGATTATGGTATGCCCAGCGCGATAAGCTAAATTTTTATACATTGTGTGTTGACGATTCTGGTGTGGTAAAAGTGATTTAATAATTCTATTATTCAGTACGTTTGATTCTAATTCTTATTGTTTTTAATGTAGTTCAATACTATATGTACGCTCCCTACACTGTGGGCTCCAATTAGCCCAAACGAAATGTAATTAAACTGTGACCAGGAACAATCACAATGCACTATCCATCTTTCCTTTTTTAGTCACAGAGTCAATGTGTATCCAGCTGGAGATACTTTCTGGCTTCTGCATCTGGCTCTCCGTAGCTCTGTCCATGTTTTCTCTCATTATCTTTGTCTCTTAATGTCTCCCACCATCTCTCTCATTCTGTAGATATTCTTTCTAACTTCTTCATTCACACCTTCTCTATGTATATGCATCCTTTCTCTGGAATCACAGCTATTTTCTTTCTTAATGAAACATCATTAACTAGTATTAATCAGACATTATAAATCAAAAACTTTGTGAATCTTTGTACATGTGAATACCATATATTGTCTTCTGTCGCAGCTCAAATTGCTGTGAGCTGGAATGAGCTAGAGACATGAAACCTTGGCCCAATATTTGGAAATTATGTGCAAATGCTTCCCTAAAAATATGATCCCAATTGACCAGATGGTGGTGCCACGCCCCTCACACAGTGACTCAATTCAGTTCAATTCAATTCAGTTTTATTTATATAGCGCCAATTCATAACAAAATCTCATTGCACTCTTCATATACAGCAGGTGTAAGTCGTACTCTTTGTGATATTATTTACAGAGACACAACAATTCTAACTATGAGCAAGGACTTGGTGACAGAGCAAGAAAAAACTTTGAGAGGCAGAAACCTTGAGCAGAACCTTGGCTCAGGGTGGACGGCCATCTGCCTCGACCGGTTGAGGGTGAGAGAGAGCAAGAGAGAGCTTGCAAGAGCTAGCAAGAGAGCTAGAGAGGGCTCGGGGTTGGGGGAAGCAGCCAATATCCATACAGAAATACATACAGTAAAGGTAGTAGCAATATAGAATTAAAATAAATAATGGTACAGATAATTATTCTAATGTTAATGATAATAATATTAACAATAGGACTAGTAATAACAATGGTAGCAGCAAGTGACTCGCAACCACAGATCCAGACTCCACAGCTCCAGACACCTGCAGGAAGTGATAGGAGGAGAGAGGAGAGGGACGAGAAAGCACAAGACTACCGGAAAGGGGAGAAGTCGAGTTAGTAACATGCATTAATGGGACGGGATCTCACTCTTGCCTGTGTGAGAGGAGAGGACTAGCTAACTAGTCGCTGTCGGACAACAGTGGTTAAATTTTTATTTTTCCAAATTATTGCTAGGGATAATTCAGTAGTCGCTGGATATTGGTAGGGACATTCCTACTAAATTCTACACCCTTGGTACACAACAAGTTCTGTGCACATCCCATAAAGGGGGGCAAATGCTGCATATATTTTTATGATGAAACAAGTGTTGTCTGGCCTTTAAATACCTCAGCTGTGGAGGGTAGCAGGCCTTTATTTGAAGCAGGCTTATATTAGAGACATGCCTTTATTTCATTCTTAATTCCCTTTGTTTGATAAGTATATTTGCTCTTATTTTAGCATGAAGCTGGTTTTCTGATCTGCTCCTGTTTGTCCTGTTGAAGTTTTCAATGAATTATGATGTTAATGAAAACACTTCCCGTAGCCGTTTCAAATTTAAAACAATCTAGGATTTCAGTCGGCAGAATCAATTAATTTTCAAACAAAGTGAATTATTATTGTGAAATATGTGCAAGTGTGGAGAATTCAGTCAATTCAATTCAATTTTATTTATATAGCGCCAAATCACAACAACAGTTATCTCACAGCGCTTTTCATAAAAGAGCAGGTCTAGACCGTACTCTGTGATGTTATTTACAGAAGCCCAACAGTTCCCACCAAGAGCAAGCACTAGGCGACAGAGGCAAGGAAAAACTTCCTTTTAAGAGGCAGAAACCTCGAGCAGAACCATGGCTCAGGGTGGGCGGCCATCTGCCTCGACCGGTTGGGGTGAGAGAGAGAGAGAGAGAGAGAGAGAGTAAGGAGAGAGAGAGAGAGATGTAAGAGAGAGCGATGTAAGGAGAGAGATGTAAGGAGAGAGAGAGGGGAGGGAGGCAGCCTACACAATATACACACAGAGGTACACACAGTGAAGGTAATGTTGCTATAGACTAAATGAAAAATGGTACAGATATTTATAATAGTGTTAATGGTAACCATCGTAATGTTAATGATTATAATAACAATAATAACAATAAGACTAGCAAAATAGTCGTTGCAGCAGAGGGTGTCGAGCAGGAACACGGGGGCAGCAGGTGACCCGCAGCCACAGCTCCAGACTCCACAGCTCCAGAGCCAGAAAACCTGCAGGAAGTGATAGGAGAGAGGAGAGAGACGAGAAAGCACAAGACTACCAGAAAGGGGAGAAGTTGTGTTAGTAACATGCAATAATGGGATAAGGTTGCATACAGAGGGAGAGAAAGTAGAGGAGAGAGGAGCTCAGTGCATCATGGGAAATCCCCCGGCAGTCTAGGCCTATAGCAGCATAACTAAGGGATGGTTCAGGACTACCTGAGCCAGCCCTAACTATAAGCTTTATCAAAGAGGAAAGTCTTAAGCCTACTCTTAAATGTGGAGATGGTGTCTGCCTCCTGAACCCAAACTGGAACCTGGTTCCACAGGAGAGGAGCTTGATAGCTGAACGCTCTGGCTCCTAGTCTACTTTTGGAGACTCTAGGAACCACAAGTAACCCTGCATTCTGGGAGCGCAGTGCTCTGGTGGGGTAGTAAGGTACTATGAGCTCTTTAAGATAAGATGGTGCCTGACCATTAAGAGCTTTGTAGGTAAGAAGAATGATTTTAAATTCTATTCTGGATTTTACTGGAAGCCAATGCAGAGAAGCTAAAACAGGAGAAATGTGATCTCTTTTCCTGGTTCCTGTCAGAACACGTGCTGCAGCATTCTGGATCAGCTGAAGAGTCTTAATGGACTTTTTCGAGCAGCCTGATAATAAGGAATTGCAGTAATCCAGCCTAGAAGTAACAAATGCATGGACTAGTTTTTCTGCATCATTTTTAGACAGGATGTTCCTGATTTTCGCAATATTACGTAGGTGAAAAAAGGCGGTCCTTGAAATTTGCTTAATGTGAGACTTAAACGACATGTCCTGATCAAAGATAACTCCAAGATTCCTCACAGTGGTGCTGGAGGCCAAGGCGATGCCATCCAGGGAAACTATATCTTTAGATAATGCGTCACGGAGGTGCTTAGGCCCCAGAGTAATAACTTCAGTTTTATCTGAGTTTAACATGAGAAAATTACAGGTCATCCAGGTTTTAACATCCTGAAGGCACATTTGAAGTTTAGCTAACTGATGAGTTTCATCTGGCTTGATCGATAGATATAACTGAGTATCATCTGCATAACAATGAAAGCTATGGAATGTTTCCTGATAATATTGCCTAAAGGAAGCATATATAAAGTGAAGAGGATTGGTCCAAGGACAGATCCTTGAGGAACTCCATGAGTAACTTTGGCGTGCATGGAGGACTCATCGTTAACATGTACAAACTGAAATCGATCTGATAAATAGGACTTAAACCAGCTTAGAGCGGTTCCTTTAATGCCAATGAAATATTCCAGTCTCTGCAATAGGATCTGATGGTCAATGGTATCAAATGCAGCACTAAGATCTAATAAAACCAGTACAGAGACAAGTCCTTTGTCTGATGCAATAAGGAGGTCATTAGTAATTTTCACCAGTGCTGTCTCTGTGCTATGATGAGCTCTAAATCCTGACTGAAAATCCTCAAATAAACTATTGCTCTGTAGAAAGTCACACAGCTGTTTAGCAACTGCTTTCTCCAGAACCTTAGAGAGAAATGGAAGGTTAGATATAGGTCTATAGTTGGCTAAAACATCCGGATCAAGTTTGGGCTTTTTCAGAAGAGGTTTAATTACAGCTACTTTAAAGTACTGTGGTACATAGCCTGTTGATAAAGATAGATTGATCATATCTAGTATAGAGGTGCTGACTAAGGGTAAACATCTTTAAGCAGCCTAGTCGGGATGGGGTCTAAGAGGCAGGTTGATGGTTTAGATGAAGAAATTATTGAAGTTAGTTGGTAAAGATTGAGGGAAGCAAAACAGTCTAAACATGTATCTGGTTCTACAGCTGTTTCTAAGGTTCCTGAGTTAAGAGATAAGTCGGTGCCAATTGAGGGCAGGTCTTGGTGAATTTTGTCTCTAATAGCTAGAATTTTATCATTAAAGAAGCTCATGAAATGGTAACTACTGAGAGCTATGGGAATACTTGGCTCAATAGAGCTGTGACTCTCTGTCAGCCTGGCTACAGTGCTGAAAAGAAACTTTGGGTTGTTCCTATTTTCCTCTATTAATGACGAGTAGTAGCTGCTCTGGCATTACGGAGGGCCTTCCTATAAGTTTTAAGACTATCTTGCCAAATTAAACGAGAATTTTCCACTTTGGTAGAACGCCAATTCCTCTCAAGTTTCTGTGATATTTGCTTTAATTTGCGAGTTTCAGTATTATACCATGGAGCTAACCGTCTTTGTTTTAGTATTTTCTTTTTTAGAGGGGCTACAGAGTCGAGTGTCATTCGCAGCGAGCCTGCAGCACTATCAACAAGATGATCGATTTGGGAGGGACTGAAATTAGCATAGGAGTCCTCCGTTACTTTGTGACTAGATAATGTATTTAGAGCTGATGGAATCGCATCCTTAAATTTAGCTATGGCACTATCAGACAGACATCTTGTATAGAAATTTTTGCCCAGTGGCGAGTAGTTCAGCAATACAAACTCAAAAGTTATCAAACAGTGGTCGGATAAAGAGGGATTCTGTGGGAACACCACTAAATGTTCAATTTCAATACCATACACCAAAACAAGGTCGAGGGTGTGGTTAAAACAGTGAGTAGGTTCATGAACACTCTGAGAGAAGCCGATGGAATCTAACAGAGAGATAAACGCAGTACTAAAGCTGTCATTCTCAGCGTCCACATGAATATTAAAATCTCCTACAATAATAACTTTGTCCGTTTTAAGGACTAAAGTTGACAAAAACTCTGCAAATTCAGATAAGAATTCAGAATACGGGCCAGGTGCTCGGTACACTATAACAAAAAGAATTGGTTGCAGTGATTTCCAACTTGGGTGCGAAAGACTAAGAACAAGACTTTCAAATGAGTTATAGTTTAGTTTAGGTTTAGAGCTGATTAATAGGCTAGAGTCGAAGATAGCTGCAACTCCACCTCCTCTGCCTGTGCCTCGAGGAATGTGAGTATTAATATGACTGGGAGGGGTGGATTCATTTAGGCTAGCATATTCTCCATCACCCGGCCAGGTTTCAGTAAGACCAAACAAATCAATATCATAATCTGATATTAGTTCATTTACTAGTACACCTTTAGAAGAGAGAGATCTGATGTTTAAGAGTCCACATTTAACTCTCCTATTCGTTTGCACTATTGCTCTTGTGGTTTTAATTTTTATGAGGTTTTTATGCACAGCTCCTCTTCTGTTTACCTTTTAAATAATTTCGATGGTCGGGGGACAGACACCGTCACTATAGAATTTTCACTAAGTAACTCCTGAAATGGAGGAGCAGAGAAGTGTGTTAGACTGCAACTCTGCGTAGGGTTTTGGGTGGGTAACTGCTGAAAAAGAAGGGCAGAGAAGTGTGTTAAACTGCGACTCTGCCTCCTGGTCTCAACTCTGGCTTGTCATGGATTTGGTCCACTAATAAACTTGGCCAGATTTCTAGAAATGAGAGCTGCTCCTTCCCAAGTGGGATGGATGCCGTCTCTCCGAATCAGACCAGGTCTTCCCCAGAAAGTCTGCCAATGATCAACAAAGCCCACATCGTTTGCTGGACACCACCTCGACAACCAGCGGCGGAATGACGACATGCGGCTATACATGTCATCACTGGTCAGATTTGGCAGGTCACTTGCCCCGTTCCCATATGGTTCTCAAATGTAGCTGCTGTCATCTTGTGGCATTTGCAAGTTACTATAAAATACAGTCTAACATTAACACACATAGACCCACAGTGACTGCAACAGGATAACAACACTCTAGATGAGTAATCCATAACAACAAAGTGTTAAAAATAGCATGATTATGTTGTTGAATTTATTAAATTAAATACATGTAATATACATTGTGCTTAATTTGACATGCCCATTATATGACAGGCACCGGGTATTTATACACCTTTGTTTTTTATCCCCCGCCTGTGTTTGGGACTTTATTTGTTAGTAGCAACCACAGCCCCAGCCATTATTTGAGACACTGCTTTTATTCGATTGTCAACTTTTAATCGGGGAAATGCGGTATTTGTTTGCTCTTACTCCTTCTTTAAACTCATTGCTGCTTGCTGTCTTAACTACTTGCTTCTGTTGACCATGAAAAGGTTTGAACACGGATTTGACGCTTGCAGCTATACATATACGTACTGTATGCGATATTATAAGTGACTCAAGCAATTGACACTTTTCAGACTTTTGCCACACAGTGAACAATGGTGAAGTGATCCCACTCTTGCACGGTGAGTCCCAGACAGTTGGTGACTGAGTGGTAACATAGGAAGTAGAGTTTTGCAGTATAAACATCCAGAAACATAGCTGCAACCTTCCTCTGTTTGGGACTGTGAGCTGCACTATCAAAAGTGTTGAAAATAATGTGTGTGGATTTGTGGTGAGATTTTTGCCAACTACTAATTGTCCAAATTCAAGTTTATTGTCGCATGTTTAAGAACAGTGAAATGCTTATGCTCAGGCTCACTCATCCTACATACACACTACATATATTCTGTACATAAGTAAATTTTGTGTTCAAGGTCAGAGAAAGCAGCCGTAATCCACAAATATCATCACGAGTGTAATTAAAACCCATGCGTCATTGTGGCAGTATTAAACCAAAATGCCTAAATATTACTTTTCAGTAGGCTCCATCCCATGTGCAAATAATTTGATAGAGGTTCGGCAGTTAAGCAGTTGCTGTCTCTGTCCTGTCTTATCAGACTCCTCCTTGGTCTCATCATGTCATCCTTCTGTCCTCCTGTCTTCCTTCCTCAAGCATCTCTGTCCTTCTTGTCTCACTTTCTCTCTCCTCTTTCTCCTAAATGCTTCATGCCTGGAAGGTCCCAGGTCTTTCCGTGAGATGTTCTATATTCTGCAGAGCGCTTGTGGCAGGAACTGTTCCTCAGAAGGTAGCTCACTTCCAACTTCCACTACCACTCTTTGTTGTCAACTCTATTTCCTTTCTTTCCTTTTCCTTGTCTTTTTTGTTTAAGCTCATTGTCCATTCCTGTGCTTCTCATCGGTGCTGCTGATTCTGCTGATATTCTTGTGATTGGTTGGTTGACCCAGGGGAGTAAACCACACAGAAGTTTACTCTGAGTGGGCGTGTGTGTTTGTATATGTGTTAGTGTTTATCCTGTGTCAATGTGTGTGTGTGTGTTTCACATTAATGGACTACATAACAGCAAAGGTTAAATGAAGGGATGAAGGTTTGATAAAAGGTATCACAACCTTTTTATCTGCTCCAATGACAACAACCTCCATGATGTTACCTCGGTGACAGCTCTGTCTAATGACCTGCTGTTAGCATCCTCTGTACACACATTATTATGCAATTAACTCATGCAGACAAATCTCCCACTATCTGCTGACCCATTAGCTAACCTAATGACTGTTAGGTTGGGACTGCAGGTTTGGGCTGAAGAAGCATAACACAGCCTCTAGCACCCTACATCCAGCAGGAGAACCAAACACCCAATGCCCAGCAAGCAGCACACAACCCCTCACACCCAGCATGTGAAAAGTGAACTGTGAGAATACAGAAAGTGTAGATTGATGTGGAGAGGGGTTGTTGAGAAAATATTTAAGAGGGTAACCTTTGTAAAAAATAAAAAAAATAAAAATGGGGGTGGTTATGTCTTGATGCGTACAGAATGTCTCAGTGTCGGCATGGATTGTTATCTAGCGTATCATATCTGTTCTGTGAAAAGCAATAGAGGCTAAGTAGTTTACCTGAGAAACAAACGTAGAAAAGGTGTAATATAGATATTTATATAGATATAAAATAGTGCTTAAATATTCCACTCATACACACAGAAATATATGCACGCCCAAATTTAAATGCACACAGAATATATTCAGAACATACACTATATTGCCAAAAGTATTAGGACCCCTCCAAATCACTGAATTCCAGTGTTCCAATCACTTCCATGGCCACAGGTGTATAAAATCAAGCACCTAGGCTGCAGACTGCTTCTACGAACATTTGTGAAAGAACGGGTCGCTCTCAGGAGCTCAGGGAATTCAAGCGTGGTACAGTGATTGCTACCTCTGCATTTCCATTTGTAAAATTTCCTCACTACTAAATATAAAATGGTCAACTGTTAGTGGTATTATAACAAAGTGGATGTAGGCCATATAAAATCTCAGAGCAGGGTCAGCGCATGCTGCGGTGCACAGTGCACAGAAGACGTTAACTTTCTCCAGAATCAATAGCTACAGACCTCTAAACATCGTGTGGCCTTCAGATTAGCTCAAAAACAGTGCATTGAGAGCTTCATGGAATGAGTTTCCATGGCCGCTGCAATGCAAAGTGTCGGATGCAGCGGTGTGAAGCACGCCGCCACTGGACACTAGAGCAGTAGAGACGTGTTCGACGAATCGCGCTTCTCTGTCTGGCAATCCGATAGACGAGTCTGGGTTTGGCGGTTGCCAGGAGAACGGTACTTGCCTGACTGCATTGTGCCAAGTGTAAAGTTTGGTGGAGGGGGGATTATAGTATGGGGTTGTTTTTCAGGGCTTGGCCCCTTAGTTCCAGTGAAAGGAACTGTTAATGCTTCAGCATACCAAGACATTTTGGACAATTTCCTGCTCCCAACTTTGTGGAAACAGTTTGGGGATGGCCCCTTTCTGTCCATAAAGACATGGATGAGCGAGTTTGGTGTGGAGAACTTGACTGGCCTGCACATAGTCCTGACCTCCACCCTATAGAACACATTTGGGATGAATTAGAGTGCTTCTAGAAGAATGGTCAAACATTCCTATGAACGCAAACCTTGTGGACAGCCTTCCCAGAACAGTTGAAGCTATTACAGCTGCAGAGGGTGGGCCAACTCCATATTAAACCCTACGGATTAAGAATGGGATGTCATTAACCTTGTGCATGTAAAGGCAGGCGTCCCAAAACCTTTGGCAATATAGTGTATATATTCACACACCACATTCTCTAAACACACAGCAGTGCTCCATTTATAGCTGAAGCTGCTTGTGCTTTACCCAGCAGGCAGATCCAGACAGGCACAGCCAGACAGTGGTGATCCACATCAGCGGCCCCAGTGGGGTCCGCCCCTGTACATATGGAACTGGAATTGTGTGGAGTGAAAGTCTCGATAGAGAACACAGACCAGCCATAAGCTGTGTGTCAATTCAGGGACCGCATCCTTCGAAGGCTGCATTTGAAGACTGAATACGTCACAGTTGATGCGACTAGGCTGTCCCATTTTGAAGGCTCCTTCAAATGCGGCCGACAAATGCAGCCTTCTTTTCCTCGAAGGCTGTGAAGGATCCAGCAGCTGGATCCTTCGCAGCCCCAGGTATCCCGATATTCATTGCGCGCTGGTTGATTGTCCCAGTGTAAATAATGGCGTCGGCTGTGGCTGTGGAGTTGAGCCCCCCGGATTTTACCTATAAATGTAAGTATTGGATTTCACCTCACTTCAAAAGCCAACTACACAAATGTAAAAATAACAAGAGGCATAAAAGCGCAATGTGTCGTTTAAAGAATAGTTTTGTGGAAGAATTTAATGTGAGTTAAGTGATTAACTGGCGAGCTAATGTTACCTTTATTGATGTGCTAACGTTAACGTTAAATGCAACTCGGCTGGGCAAGTTACAACCTCAAAAATAAAGCCTTTAACGTCTTCACTTAAAATCGAAGAGGCTCAGAGTCAGACCTACGTCTTACAGAGATTGTCGCGATATTATACATCATTTATACTTCATAAATACCACGTAACTTAGACTAATTTAACGTTAGACAGGTTGTGAACTCTGCTTGGTTTTCAGACAGTTAACGTTAGTAACGCTTACAAAAACCTTGGGATATAGTACACGGTTAATGTAACTAGGTTATTTTGCAATTTATGCTGCTTACTGTTTGCTTACTTTATTAAATTGAGGGGGGAGAGCGACCACCTCTTCACCGGGGCAAAATTTTCTGCTAACATGGCTTGGAGGTAATTTAAGTATCAATAGCCCTTTTGTAATATCTGCATTTAATCATCTTGTACTTAAAGTTACAGTTAAATGAGCCACCGTCCTATTCACAGCCTTTAACAATAAGACAACCAGTAGATGGGGCAGCCCTTTGTTGTGTTTTTGTGTCTCTGTCCTGCCCTGTCACCTTTTCCAGTCTTCACAAAATTACCATTTCTTTTGTTTCTCTGTGATTAGGACAATTTTGGAGAAAATGGGCATGTGGGGGAAGGTGACTTCCCTCCAAGCAAAATAAAAAGTAGGACAGATGTCCCAGATGTCCTCAGTTGGATTCAGGTCTGGGGAACGGGCGGGTCAGTCCATAGCATCAATGCCTTCCTCTTGCAGGAACTGCTGACGCACTCCAGCCACATGAGGTCTAGCATTGTCTCGCATTAGGAGGAACCCAGGGCCAAACGCACCAGCATATGGTCTCACAAGGGGTCTGAGGATCTCATCTCGGTACCTAATGGCAGTCAGGCTACCTCTGGCGAGCACATGGAGGGCTGTGCGGCCCCTCAAAGAAATGCCACCCCACACCATTACTGACCCACCTCCAAACCGGTCATGCTGGAGGATGCTGCAGGCAGCAGAACGTTCTCCACGGCGTCTCCAGACTGTCATGTCTGTCACATGTGCTCAGTGTGAACCTGCTTTCATCTGTGAAGAGCACAGGGTGCCAGTGGCGAATTTGCCAATCTTGGTGTTCTCTGGCAAATGCCGAACGTCCTGCACGGTGTTGGGCTGTAAGCACAACCCCCACCTGTGGACGTCGGGCCCTCGTACCACCCTCATGGAGTCTGTTTCTGACCGTTTGAGCAGACACATGCACATTTGTGGCCTGCTGGAGGTCATTTTGCAGGGCTCTGGCAGTGCTCCTCCTGCTCCTCCTTGCACAAAGGCGGAGGTAGCGGTCCTGCTGCTGGGTTGTTGCCCTCCTACGGCCTCCTCCACGTCTCCTGATGTACCGGCCTGTCTCCTGATAGCGCCTCCGTGCTCTGGACACTACGCTGACAGACACAGCAAACCTTCTTGCCACAGCTCGCATTGATGTGCCATCCTGGATGAGCTGCACTACCTGAGCCACTTGTGTGGGTTGTAGACTCCGTCTCATGCTACCACTAGAGTGAAAGCACCGCCAGCATTCAAAAGTGACTAAAACATCAGCCAGGAAGCATAGGAACTGAGAAGTGGTCTGTGGTCACCACCTGCAGAACCACTCCTTTATTGGGGGTGTCTTGCTAATTGCCTATAATTTCCACCTGTTGTCTATTCCATTTGCACAACAGCATGTGAAACTGATGTCAATCAGTGTTGCTTCCTAAGTGGACAGTTTGATTTCACAGGAGTGTGATTGACTTAGAGTTACATTGTGTTGTTTAAGTGTTCCCTTTATTTTTTTGAGCAGTGTATTTTTTTTAATATAATTTTTGTATAAATCGTTCACTGTGCAGCATAAAGGGAACTACAAACTGCATTCATCTTACAACCCTGTTTTAATATAATACATACATTTACCTTGTACGTTGTATATTCATTTCATTCATTTTAGCCATGCATGTTAATAAACACAGTTGCTGAAATTTGTTTTTCTGCTGTTGTTATTTACCATGATTGACTTCCTGTGCCTTAGGATTGCAAGTGTCCAGGGTCAGGAGAGGGTGTAGGGGGGAAGCCCACTGCTGCAACTTGGCCCTGGTTTGTCCTCATGGATGAGGTGTTGGGACAGAAGCATTCCACCACCCCACCTGTTGTAATTGCCTCTATCCCTGAGGACACACCAGGGCCAAGTTCTGCAGTGGGTGACCAGGAGGAGAAAGAGGGACAGAGAGGATGAGCTGCTTCAGCTTCTCAAGGAAGACATGAGGTTGCAGAGAGAGGCAGAGGGGAGGAGAGCACAGGAGAGCAGAGAGAGGATGGACAGGCTGTTCTC